CCCTCATGGCTCCTCAAAAAGCAACATGTCACTTCAGGAGGCATGCCCACTACAAAAGGCTGGTGAATTTGAACCCATTCATGAGGGTGGCATGGTGGTGAAGAAACATTTGTATCTTCTCTTCCCCTTTCAATGTGGAGGAGGAAGTTACAAGGGTAAGAACAGTTGAGGTGGTGGTGGTGGTATTGGAGGAGGAGAAGGAGTTTTGAGGGAGGTGTAGTTGCCTCAGTCTAAGGCTGGAGAAACAAAGACTTTTTCGCGGTGCTATTACTGTTTGAAGAGGGAGCTTGGAAGTAAAGGTTGGTGGTCTCCTTACTTGTATCACCTCAGATCCTTGCTTTAGGTGTCCTGCCTTCCACTGAAAAAGGGAGGAGGAAGGGAGAGAAAGAAAAAGAGAGAGAGAAAGAGAAGGGCAAAGGCTAGTGGACTGTCATTTCGCTCAGCTGCTTTCTCCACTCAGTGGAGCAGCCATGTCGTAGGCAATGCCAGGCCCTGCCAACCTTTGCCTTTCCTTTCATCACGTGGCCATTACATTACGAGAAGAAGGTCGTCTGAACAACTTTCAAGCCTTCGTGGCTTCTCTCTGAGGACACTGTGACTCCCTTCAGGTTCAGGTTAAGGACTGCAGGTTAAGAACCACTGATCTAGGGCATGGTTGTATGACACGTTACCTTCACACAACCTTTAGTCCACTTGACTTTCCTTCACTCTCTCAGATTCCCATCACTATTTCCGTTTACAGAATGCTGTGGTTCCCAGTCTGTTCAAGGAAGCCCTTCTCCCACCCTGGGAAGTGGCTTACCCTTGATCAAGTAACTATTGGTCTCTGGGATTCTCACAGAGACATGAGGGCTAGAAGATCCAGTGAGACACTACATTTATTCATAAGTAACAACACAGTTACAGATTTCTTATGCCTTAATTTAAAATAGGTTTGTAGTAAAAACTCATGCTGTATAATGTATTAATTTTTTCAAGTAGATTTTGCAAGACTCAAGTCAGCCGAATGTTGCCCCAATTTGCTGCTTGCTACAAGCAACCTACAATGCGACCACACATATCCACACATTTTTAATAGCTGAGAAGGAAATGGCTGTCAGGGAATGTTTAGAAACAGTACAGCTGCTATGGGGAAAGCAAAAGGTCATTCTGGTGCCTGGGGAAGTTTGATGATAGGAAGGTCTCTGACCTATAAGTGAAATTGCTCAGAGACTGTAACCAAGTAAAAAACTAAAGTAGGCAGATGGTGGAATTAGCTTTAGCTGAACATCTCAAACAAATATATATACTGTTCTATAGTATTGGATAGCAAACCTGGGGCAAAGTTTATATGTCCACTTCAAGAAACTCATTCCCAGATGTTGTTGAACTATAACTTCCAGAAGGCCCAGTCAGGGACAAAGTTTCTGGGACTTATAGTTCAACATCTGGAGACTCAATGTTGGATATGTTTGTAGAACATTGTAATTTGCAGCAACAGACTAAAAAAAAA